GGGCGGGCCGACCTAAATTTCCGTAACGATTTCTCGTCCCACGCGAATTATTTACCTGAATTCTGTAATTAGTTAGTCAGAGAACCGGCTATCATTATCTAGAACAAAATCCTTGGTTTTTGTTGGACACTACCTTCAAGTCAGGCGATAGCGGGCTATCTAGTGAGAAGCGCACTGCACTACAGCTAATTAACAATATGATGTTAGCACATTGTTTGTTTGCACAAATCTTTACGAATAATTGCTATAAGATCCGGGCTTCTTCCGAGATGTGACAGTGGAAGACTTGCAGAATACATCCAAACCAGTTCTCATTTTTAGTCAGTGAATCACGTGAAAATGCATCAATATCTAATTTGCACTGGACGTTAACTGTCACTTTAGATACTCTTTCTGCAATCAGTAATGTTGGGTGAATCTACTGAATAGTGTAAAAAGTTACATCTCAAATGAAATGAGGCCTAAGTAGTGATAGAAGGATAATTCGTGTGTTGGACAGAAGCTGAATGGTTCTCATCCGCCCATTCCGGGGTTTCGAGCAGAAATCAGTTGTTTATTTCAACGTCATAAAATGTTTCTCTGAAGTTCATTACCGTTTGCCAGCAGTACTCTCCAAGATGGAAAGCAATGCGCTTTTTATTAGCCTATCTACCCTTTCCTGCAATATCTCCCTTTCTTAAGCAGACATCTCTGAATCTTACAACTCAGTGTGAAGCTACCTCGTTATTGCATCAGCTACAATTTTCCTACTAATCCTCAGTACGTAATTACAGGATCTTCTTTCCACCTGTCAGAAACGTCAAGTGGATCGTGTCGATTTCGAAGTTGAGGGTGAACCTCGCACTGTTTGCTGGAAGTGCTATTGCTTCAGTGGCGAAGAAGTAGGTATCTTGAACATGAAAGAGTATAGACTCAAAATTACTCATTTTTCCCAGAGTTCAAGAACTCGTAGTGGCAGCCAATCGCTGGACATGGCTTCTTTTGAAGGAGAATTTGAAGAAGGTTTTATCGATTTTCTGAACAAGTTGGAGCAACGTCAGGAGCAGATCAAGGTTTCCATTTTAGTACTATGCTGTTAAAAACCATCTATGTGTATCAGGCTTATAAAACCATCGTGAAGATGTCTTATGGCTAATTTACAGCTTGATTAGAAGCTAATTGTTTCATGATTTTCTCATCTTGTCCTTATTAAATTGTACTAGCACCATTGATCTTTCGTAAAATTCATTATAAGATGATTTGAGGAATCTGCTCTTCGTCTACTTTCTCCACCTGGTATCATGACTGCTGATCACAATCGAATTGAGAAGTCGGTACAGACAGCTCCAGTCTGTCTGCCAGCAGAGGCTTTTGTGCCCGAGGTGGTTACCTTGATGAAAACTAGCTAATAATTCAATGGTAGAAAACAAACTTTTCATCACGGTCGTCAGTATGAGGGGTAGATCATTTCTTATACCAATTGGCGATATATAGGTCTCCCAGCAAAAATTGTGAAAATCCATAGTCATTTCCAGCCGTTATTTTTTCTTGTTAATGCTATGTTAATGTTAAACGCCCATTAAATTGATATGTTTTTTTTTGGTCGGAGTTGTGGAATAACCCACTTCAAGTTTATCGTCTGATATTGAAATCTTATTGAATCCTAACTTTTGTCGCCATTTAACGTTCGAAGAAGCGTTTTGAAGAAGTTAATTGATAGTGCGAAAAAAACTTTCTTGATAAAGTCTTCGTTTCAAGAGTAACACAGATTCTATCTTACCACTACTTGGTCCATCTTCAGTATTCCAGTTTTTCCCAATATTTCACGTGTAACAGACTGGCTGATTCTCTTCTAGCTTCCTCCACCTGATTTCTCCGAATATTGCAATGCTCCTGTGGACGTCGCTGTTGACAGTTACGTTGGCACTCTTTTGGACTTGACTGATCGCTCTAAGAACAGTGGGATAACAAACTGGTCAGGGCTCTTCGATTGCAATTCATTACGCTTAATGCGGTTAGAAAGTGTTTGCCTTGATGTGCACAACATTTAGTCATTTTACAGCATCTCCACTTCTCCGCTTGTGCCTGCAAAAGATCTTAATTGGAGCTATCAAGATTTTGTTGGAAGTTGGGAACACTCGTTGAAAATGGTAGGTTTCACG